TCCATACACTTCTGAGATATCATCTATAACTAAGAATTTTTTGTATTCATCTTGTTCTACCTGTATAACTAACTTATCTGCTAACTCCCCCCGTGTATATACATCGAGCAGACTAATTCCTTCTTTTGCTCCGTAATTAAGTAAGAGATAGTTCTATAAATATATATCTTCTAGTGAACCTTTATTGTTCGGCATATCTCTGGTAGGTGAAGAAACAATTTTACAGATTTTATTCATCACATCTTTTTGTGTAAATTTATCATCGAATCTTTCTTGCCTTTTGGAATATGTGGAGCTCACTTGTTTTGTGAAATATGTCATATTAGATATTAGTTCTTCTACTTTAGGGTTGGGATATTGAAGACTCAATAGTATTTGTTTTATTATCTGATTTGTAATCAGAACCATAGTCACTGCAATTCTCTGATCTGCTTTCAGATATATTATCACTATAAACATCTGAGTCACTTGAATAGTCATCAGTTTCCCCGCCCCCGTATCATGTTTGCTGTATGCTTTGTTTACTCATTTTTGGTATTTTGTTTTTTATTAGTATGTATCAATCTTTGTTCGATTATATTATTACAATATAGTTTAGAAAAGTTTAAATTAATTTTTTAGTTGGTACACGGTGGTATTAAATAAAATGCATCGAGTTTTAGTGAGATGAATGAAAAAAAACACGATATTGATTAGTGAATACTTTGGGTGTATAACTTCGGTAATATTATATAATAATTATGGAAGTTGTATACCCCACTCAGTAGTATGTTCTAGGGTAGATAACTTCGGTAATATATTATGTGTCTACGACATTAGCTCCGCTATAAGAAAAATGAAAGATGTTTATCTATTTCAGTGGTATACTTTCGGGTTTGTTTGATGATATATTTTTGGATATGTAGTCAGGGTATTTAACTTCAGATATATTATATATAAAAAATAGAAGAAGAATACCCTTCTAATGATATGTTTTCAGATATGTTTTTGGTATATTGTCGAGGGTATTTAACTTCGGTAATATTATATAATAATTATGGAAGAAGAATACTCTTCTAATGATATATTTTCGGTATGTGATCATGGTAGGTAACTTCAGATTTATTCATAGTAAAAAATGATGTTATATATCCACCTTCTTACATATATACTTACTTTTTTCGTCACTTGTTTCATATCAGGCTCTCGAATATATATCTAACTGATAGCATATATATAATAGCATTATCGATAGTATTTTTTCATGATATACTCTATTGCTTTGCAAGCCATATTGTGAAACAATAGTACTTGCATGCCTAGGCAATTCTCCAAATCATGACTCTTCGAGTTTAGATACTGACAACGGTATCACATTTCTGTCATCAAAAATGTGTTATAAAATATATATATCATGACACTGAGGACGCAAGTGTGAATCATTCGTCACTTGAATAATGACACAAGTGTGAATCATTCATCACTCAAATGATGACGCAAGCGTGAATCATTCGTCACTCGAATAATGAAGCGAATACTAATATATCTGACGATACAAGCACGAATCGTTCGTCACTCAAATGACGACGCAAGTGTGAATCGTTCGTCACTTGAATGATGAAGCAAATACTAATATATCTCTGACGATGCAAGCACGAATCGTTCGTTACTCGAATGACAATGCAAATGCAAAATGCTTGTCATACTTGAGACTATAATAGTCTAATCTAAGTCGTTTTTTGTTTATATAAACAAAAAATGACTGAGTTCTGTTGTTTGTAAACCTTTTTATTTTTGTTTTAAATTTTTTTTAGTTATATATCAACAAATTGAAATTCTTCTATTTTAGTTATTAAAAGACATATTTTAGATTGCTGAGTTTTAGCAATCATATTGGGTAAGTCTTTAAATCCTATTTGTTAAATATACTTTCTATCTATTGCTGATGAATAACAATATACCAAATCTTATTTTCGACAAAGTTATAAAGCTATGAATATTGGTAAAGTAGAACCATTGATTTATTAACAAATAAGTTAAATTCTTGGAATAATGATTTATTAGTTAATATATTTTTAAAACCAAAATCATTAAAATTTTTTT